GGCGGTGGCGATGGCGATGGCGATGGCGATGGCGGTGGTGGGTGGCGATGGCGATGGCGGGCAGCGATGGCGATGGCGATGGCGGTGCATCACGGTCGGAGGACCGCTCCCGATCAAGTCGTGTTTTGCGGCTTCAATTGCATTCTTCAGGGTGGCATTGTGATCACACACCAACCCGCAATCAACCCATTCGAGGATGCAATGTCGGTACTCTCCCAGCGTAAGGTGGGGCTTCCAGAGGCGATCCAACACGAGGTTGGAGGTGTCGACGATGTGTCGCCTCCAGTTGAAGATGTACGACCCCGCTGCTATGAGAGAGGCTTTGGTAGTGATTAATGCGTAGAATCCTGCCTCATAGTGCAAACGATCGTCATCGTCACCCATGCTCATGATCCACATGCACATGCTCAACAAAACACGAAGATAGTTCGCAACCCGCGTTAACCTATCTTGTTTCAAACGGCCGTCGTCCGCTCATTGTCCTCAGCAAAGCGCATCTGTCCAGCACTCCGCCACACGAAGAACTGTTGCCTCCTGTTGTGCCGCCATGTCATCATCTTCAGGCCTGTCCACAATTTTCACCCCCGCGAACCACATAGGCACGTCCATGTTCATCTGCAGCGTGTAGTAAATAAGGGTTGGGGAAACCACTGTCGACCATTCCAACCCGTGCCAAACAACTCGTGCGACATTGGTAGCATAGTCGACGGTGATGTACGACTTTGCAAGAGCGAAGCCATTCGACCCTGACCATGATTTGAAGATCCACCAGTAGATGGTGCACATTACCAGTTTCTCCACGATGCACGCTCTGCGCAAAGCCGGTTGAGGATGCTCAGGGTCGTCGATCTTGAAGCGTAGCACGTCATTCGGCGACATTATGAGCATGGACGGTGGTTCGGCTCCTGCGTCTCCGTTGGCGATGGCGACGAAGTAGCCGGCGCAGTCGCCAAACGCCTCCTTCAACAGTTTTCCAGGGCCTTGACCCCAAAAAGCATGGCAATCAACGCAATCAACCCACAACTTTGATCTCTCCTTCAGATTGACCTCCACTACCGTTCTCTTCCGCCTGCTGGCAAGGGGTCGGTTGTCCTCATCATTGCCTTCCCGTCGTCCGTCTCTTCTCCCATCATCGCGGCACATGTCATCGACCCTCCCCTCTACCACACCTTCCACGACTCCGCTTGCAGAGGTGTGATCATCTCCCGCCGTCGTCCGCCTGCCGCCTGCCTCCGCGCCCTTTTACGGAGGCGGTGTTCTCGCTATGCTTTAACCCCCCGTCTGTTGCGCGAGGAGTGCCCGACGCGGCTGGACTGCCCCAATCACTGCCTTGTCAACTCGGCCGCCCCCAACGACCGGGACAATTGTTGCATGAACGTCACTCGTCGTCGCCTCACCCGCCTCCGCAGCTTGCCTTTGCACGCGCGCCTCGGTGATGACAATCCCTTGCGCCTTATGTGTCCTAGCCGACACTCCGGCGGCACCACCAATGACAGCTTATCAAAGAGCAGCCAGTTGCTTTCTCGACACCTCATCCTGCCCAAAACGATCAAAACCCAATCGCTTGCTTGCCGACATCGCTTGCGCGTCCACCACCGCCACTTCCTCTGACTCGAAGTCGTCATCATCATTCGAGCCGACGTCATCAACGTGCAGCCTTTTCGACTTGGGTACGTGGCCTCGACCTTTTTGCACCCCCCCCTCCGCCCTCGCCAGAATCGCTATCTCTCTTTCCCTTTCCCGCTGCGCCCAGCGGTGCCCTGTGTATACATCTTCACTCCCCATGCCACATGGTCGATGGAGGTGTGCTGCGGTGCGAAGCGGACGTGCATGAAGGGCACCTGAACGTTGACGTTCGATGACCGACGAAAAGGAAGGACGTGGACGACGTGTGTGACGAGGCACTGGCCGCAGAGGAGGTTCAACGACGGTGACCAAAAAGGTCCACCGCCGGACCATCGGAAAGCGAGAGCAGATGACGTGGAGGCGTGGAGCGTCGAACGGGGTGCGGAGGTGTACGACGAGAAGCCTGTATACACGAGGTACCCCCGGAGACGTAGCAATGGAAGGACTGCGGTATGGAATGTTGCCCAGACTCTCCTTTTCTACCGTGTGTAGTCTCTCAGCACACCATATATGGTGTGCTGAACGACCATTGTGTGTGTGTGTGTGTGTGTGTGTGTGTGTGTGTGTGTGTGTGTGTGTGTTGTTGAGGCTGGCGGCACAGTCGCAGCGACACACGGTCATTGCCACAGATCGAACAGAATCCGAGCGACTTCGAACCGACAGTCACCACTCTTCAACGACACACGACCATTACAAAACAAAATAAAGACATACAATTTACAAAAAAACAAACGAAAAAAAAGTTAAAAAAAAAAAAAAAAAAAAAAACAGTTTGTGGTTCATTCACGCAGCCCATCCTCAGACAATGGGCATTATCCTCCAAAACGAAGATCCAATTCAACGCAAAGCAAAAACAAACCGATAATACACATTTCACATCATGCAACGTGTTCGAATTCAACGGTCTAGGATCAGCGCAGTTTAACGAAGGCTGATTTGGCAAGATTTGTCGACGTCGAATGACATATGCGCTGCCGACCAACACACAAAAGAACCATAAATCGTCATCGTAGACAATCACAACACTACTCGGCGAACACAATCCAAATTGACAGCCCTGATAAAAGGTCGACATCATTGCAGCTCTTCTAAGAGCACGTTAGACAATCCCAACACCACTCGGCCACCACAATCCAAATTAAAGAACTTACTGCACTAACGACGGATGCGCCGCAGGGCAGTGTCGGACCCGTGAACGTGATCGGCCGTTCATTTGGTGTTTTTTTTTTTGTGAACGGCCATTCACGGTGAACGGGCCGACCACTAAAGAGTGGTGTTTTTTTTTTTTTTTTGGGCTCCCCCAGGTACATTCACCTCAAGCCCCACAGCGTGGTGACATTGAAAAAAAAAAAAAAATCGAAATGACCTACAAAATAGCAAAAGAAAATGCTTTTTTTTTTTTTTTTGGGCTCCCCCAGGTACATTCACCTCAAGCCCCACAGCGTGGTAACATTGAAAAAAAAAAAAAAATCGAAATGACCTACAAAATAGCAAAAGAAAATGCTTATTTTGGCTGGTGGATTTTTGTTTTTTTTGTTTTTAATTAAAAAAATATATTATTCATGAAAAAAAAAATTGAAAAACTTATAGGGAGTTATCCTTCGATGTCCCCCACCCACCTACAAAAAAAAAACATAACACCCAGCCAAAAAAAAATAAAAAAAAAACATACCGCTCTTCGTGAAGTCCATGAACTCCCGTGTCGTGAACTCCGTGAACTCTATGACCGGCTCCGTTCACAGACCCCGTGAACGGTGAACGGGGGTACGACACTGCCGCAGGGTGCGGAAACGACACCGAAGTACGCTCCTCATGGCACCCGTGCAATGAATATTTAAAACATTAATCAAACAATACCAATATCAAACCATGGTACGGGCAAGAACTCCCCCTCCTGTGCCTACACAATCTCCACCATGGCACACTGCAGCACGCAGGACGATGGCAATGGTGTTGCTCTCGAAACGCACACGAGGCGGTCGCGCCGACCTCGGAGACGTATGGCTGAGCGACGTTAAGATCGCTCGCCGATCGCTTTCGCAATCTCCAAAAGGGCGTTGCACATCATCTGGTTTGCCTGGTCAGCCTGCTCGTAGTGCTCCTTCTGCATCTCCTCCTCTCGCTCGAGAATGTCGCATTGCCTCGTCAGCAATGAGCACTGCCTCTTGCTCTCGCTGTCCACTGTCGTCGCCATCAGCTTCCCGTGCTTATCCATGACGTCGACGAGCACTTCGAAGGTATGTTGTCTCACATTCGTTTTGCACCTCGTTTTGCCGCCCCTGCCAGCACTACCACCGCTGAATGTCGAATCCCTCGTCGATCCCTTATCGTCGTCCTATCCGTCCCCACAACCCTCACTAGCCACGAATTTGTTTCGACCACCACCTGACCCGGGCATTTGAACCCCTCCAGCTGCACCCATGTCCGCGAGATTCGTCGGGTGAATATTGTGATCGGCCTTCGACATCGCCTTCATCTTGGAATGCACATGCTCATCCATCCGAAAGTCGAACCCTTTCTCCTTCCTCTCTGCCGCCGTTAGTGTGAAGAAATTTTGCTTCCCGGATTCTCCACATAAATCTGTGCATGGATTTGAACTGCTTATACAGGTTGTCCCATTCTTTTCCCGCAGTTCACGACCTTCCTAGTTGTCACCCCCGCCTTCACAAGCCTCTTCTTGACGTCATCCCACTTCCACGTCTTCGACTTCATCCGTCCGTAGTTGTGCCCCAGCCCGGCGAGATGCAAACCCTGGTCTCTTTTCGCCCGGACCAGAGAGATCATATGATCAACGGTCCAAAAATCCCTGTTTTTCGGTCCCTCGCCTGTGGACGTGGCATCCACAACCTTCTTGCCTTTCCACCCCGCACGCGATTCCGTGGACTTGTTTGTGGCCTCGCACCCTCCGCGCTTCCTCCCAAGTGGATGAATCTCCATCTCGTCGTCGTCGTCTTCCCCATTTTCATTGTTGTCGTTATCTGCCGTGCAATCTTCGCCCCCTCCGCCATCGCAGTCCACGAATATATCGTCGCCCCCGACGTTCAACTCCGCCACCCCTCTCGTTATGTCAGACGTGCTGGACTGACGAGATTGTCGCCGATGATCGTCCTGAACGTGTCGACCCATGACCTTTGTAGTCGACCAATCATCGCCGTCCCGTCGCCTGCCGATTGCATTAGTAGGCGTCGTCGATCAGCAGGCCGCCAATCCCGTTGTCTTCGTCCTCGAAGCGGTTACACTAGCACTACTCACCGCTCCCCGCTTTGGCAAAACGATTCCACGCTCGTCGGCCAACTCACAGTCACACCCGCATCGCTCATCCGGAAGCCCCCCCGCCGTCGCCGAAGGCCGTGTGTGGTTGCTGCCTGAAGTTGGGTTGACGACAACGGTGTGCGTCATGTCCTAAGCATTCCCGACCTCAGACGGAAGCTTAGATCGACGATTCCTGCGTCGTAGCCGGTCGGGGTCCGCGAAGATCAGTGTACGTCGGCGTTAGTGGGGATGTCTGAACAGCTGGCTCCCAATCCCATCCTCCATCGAACCGCTGCCCAGGGGAACCGTTGAGGATCGAGGGTTGTCGGCGCCGTCGTCACTCGAAGGCAACGGAATCTCGTGGGACGGCAGGTGGCTGTACAGCGTCGGGTCGTATGGACACCCGCCACCTTCCACACCGGTGCAATGCAGACGTGAAGATCCCCCCGCCCGTGTCGACACCGTGGTCTTCTTCTGAAGGTTGTCCATCTTCCTCGCCTTCTTCGACGTTTACGACGTTACCTTCCCCTCCAGGAACGCGGTCGAGGAAGTAGATGTGAAAGACGACAACGACAAGCAGCAACACAGCGATGAGGAGCAACAAAGGCAGCCTGCAGTACAGGTCATCCATGGACGACAGAGCAGAGGACAGGGAACACGCACTTCCGCTGTTGCATTCGCGGCGAGTGGCGACACACTACTGGAAGAAGACGCCAAAGAAGCAGATTTCTGCAAGGGGGTATCGGGGGCGGATGGCTATAAAATTCGTAAATTCGACCGTTGGGGAGCCCGCCCGGACGTCAACACTTCTCCAGCAGCCGGCCGTAGACGTCCGATGCTCGTGACGGCCCCACTGACGGGCTGCCCGAAAAACCAACAGGGTCGTCCCGCAAATAGCCGGTAACGGTAAACTGAGGAGGCCCTCCAGCGGCCAACCGAAGACGTCCGATGCTCGTCACGGCCCCGCCGACGGGCCGCCCGAAGAGCCAACAGGGTCGTCCCCCGAATCGCCGGTAACGGTAAACAAAGAAGGTCGTTGCAGGACATTGCAACCAAGTGCTTTCTCTTCGACCCTTCATGATAGCGCAGGACCTACCTGTATTTTGTACTTGACTGACTCTTGCGAGCCTCCAGGCACAAAGTGCAGCAATTTGGATATCTCCGCCGAATTGTTGGACACGAAGTGGTGGCCAAAACTGCTTCAAAATGTATCATATTTAGAATCTCAAAAGAATCATAACGTTCGGGTAACGAAGCTTACACTTGTTCAATAGTTCTTCGTGGCTTTCTTCCCTGTACCTTTCCGCTCGAATTCAGAGAGTTGCTAGCTATCTTTTAAAGGTGCATGAGTCTATTGAGCATCGCAGCATAGGCAGGCCTTGCATCCGGTTTCAATTGTTGCACATTTCGTGGGCAACGACCATTTCACGTCCAGTCAAGGCAACTTCGTTGCGAGTTCGAAAACAAAAGAAAAAACCGTAAAGACTCAGGATCCAACATAATAATAAGAGACTACCTTCATGATTCGACCAAGTTCCAATCGTCTACTAAGTAAGATGCGATTTGATTTGTAGTAGATGGGGAAAAACCGGGCCCGGATCTTATCTTCACTGGCGATGTGTTTGATGGAGTGGAAAGAAAGGTATAAGGGGCGTCTTTGCTTCGACGACGGCCCGCAATGTCCGTCTTTCGGCTGGTGGGCCACAAATGGACCACCTTCGCCCTCCAATTTTCCTTGTGGAGTCGACGTCGTCAGCCTGTGAATCATGGATCCTTGGGCTCCAAAGGACCTCGCGAGGTCACGAGGTCCTTTGGAGTCGAGGACGATTTGCCTGGGACATCCTCGAAGCCCAAGGATTTGTCCTCGGATTGTTTTCACTTTTTTTCCCCGAAAATCAGCTCCGAGAACAGGTGGAATGACGACGAAATCCTTGGAGTCATGTCCCCGAGGAGTGTCTAACGACGCCCTTTGTTGGGAAGACGTTAGTGGGACTACAGTTGGGGATGGGCCTGGCCGAGAGTACCTGGCTCAGCTCCGAGTGCTGCAGTGCACCTACAGCGTTGAGTTTTCTCAACGCTGAACGTGTGGCATGGTGGGACGGAGTTGTCGGTGATGTATTGCGATATAATGGTACCGAAATACAAGATAATAAACTATTAGATTTTGTCATTTTGTAGAATTTTTCTTTGACATGAAATCCGTTTTGTAGTATGCTTTAACCCTCTTGGTTTGGGCGGGAAACCATTTTCCATTGAGAAAACTACCCTACCGAGGGTAGGGTACATTTCTCAACTGCAGTGCCTTTCCTTTTTCTTGGTTTTTTAGACATCATTACATCCTAAAACGGAGGAACTCTGACAGTTGTGTTTGGCTGTCTAGCATCAAACTTGTTTCCTTCTTTGGGCAATGATTGCATTTGGCCATCCACGTTGTCCCTATCCATCCCTTTTTCACGGAGACATTCACTCCGACTGTTCCAGACATATTTCATTTCTCCGAGTTACGTTATCAAAAATAAGGAGTAAAGTTGTTTCTAGCGTTTTTTTTTTCAGTTTTCTAATTTCTTGTTTCAACTTTATTAATTTCGAAATGGCGTCACACCGCTAAGTTTTCTAAACTCAACAAGGGTAGGTGGGACCAGACCCCTGGTGTTGCAGGTGCTGCCTTTGCGGTTGCTCTTTATATAATTGTTATGTATCAAAAAAAGGGGCTGCAGTTTTCAGATATTACTTTGTACTTCCAGTAAGATCATTTATGTCTGACTTTTTTTTTTTTTTTAAAGCATGAACAGCTCGGGCTGATGCTAGGGGTGCTGATAGGAGCAGACACCCCTAGCAATCCCGGGGAGGCTCCATCTATTGGTGGGAAGCAGTATCTGCTGGCAAGCGAGTCCAACGTCCCTTGAAATTGACATTGTTTGGTTGTACGAGCACATTACTGAATGAATGAAATGGCATGGAGTAGGAAACCCTTATAGGAGTTCCAAATCCCATTCATGCAAACTAACTTCATCCCCCTGCCGAATTCGCCACCATCACCCACACCCCTCTCTCAAACACCAGCACTCAACCCCCCAGTTTCTTTACCTGCACCTGCTCTTCCTCCCAGTCCACCCCCCTCGCCCCATGTCCCTTACCTCGAACAGGAACGTCGGGATGAAGTCTACAAAAGGGCACGACAGTCCTGCAGGCCTTCACCTGCCAAGAAGCCAGCGAACAGAAGGATTCAAATATTCACAGGGTAGCGGATAACACCCACAGGCTACAAGCTCGAAGACAATAACAAGGACTCAAGCAGGACATACACCCAGGACCAACCTAGCAGACGGTGCCATGGATGATAACCGGACCACAAGGAGGCTTCTAAGTCTATGAACCTGTAGGGTCAAATGTCTCGTGATTTGGAGGAACAATTATTGAGACATATGGAATACAGGTGGCAGGGGATGAGAATTAGGAGGAAATTAAAAAAAAAACAAATGGAGGGGACAATGGATGCAAGATTCTTTGCAATGGCGAAAGCTAATTCAGGCAGAACAACTATAGAAGCCTTATCTAACCCCTTTAATATATATGATCCCTTAGCTACTTCATCTGCCGCTTGCAATAAAATAGCTAGAGACTTCTTTAAGAAACTATTTTCTTCAGAGAATAAAAATATTCCCAGAAATCAGCTTCTTGATAAGATTGAAGATTTCCTATAACCATGAAGAAGTCCCTAACATGTAGTCAGAGCGAGGAGCTTGAAAAACCTCTTAGTAAAGATGAAGTATGGAAGGCATTAATGTTAATGGGGGACGAAAAAACCACTGGGATTGACGACTTCCCTAAATAATTTTGAAAAATCATGTGGGACACTATGACTCAAGATCTTATGGTCCTTATGGACTTCTATCACGCTGTATGGAATACAGGGAAGATGGGGGAAATAGTTAGTCAAGGAATCATAACTTTCTTGTATAAAAAAGGAGAAAAGACAAATATACGCAACTATCGCTCCATCACTCTGTTGACAGTAGTTTACAAACTTGTGGCAAAAGTACTGG